TGACACTAGTTACACATGTAACTTTAACATTTACACTAAAAGTTGCCGTTTACTCGTTTGTTCGAAAGTTTTACTTATATGCATGCCAAAAATTTCTAAATGCGATCCTGGAAAATTTGTGAAATACATAATTCTAAAATCCCGCAAAATTCTTAGATACTTTATTTTCTATCTTAAATTTAATGTGAAATAATTTATGTGTGCATGTTTTTGCCGTTATCATCTTTAGGGTATGTACTAGGAAATTCCTGCTTGATTCGTGGCGCCTAGTAAAATTTTTCTCGTTGGTCAATGCAAAAAAGGCGCTGAAATATAAAAACGCTCCCACCAAATTGTTTGACAATCAAACGGAGGAGAAGCTCGACCAAACACTGTCATTTGTATTGTGTTAGCGCCAATCTATTATTATTATTAATAACTTTTAGTGGGAAATCATGGCCAAAATTAAAATATGACTTCCAAAAATAGATATAAATAGGTTTAGTTTAGAAATGAAAACAGGCAAAATAAGTTCGAAGTGTTTTGAGTCACAGTAGAATTAAAAAAAAAAAAAATAGCGAAAAACTCACACCTAATGGGGTTCAGGGATCTTAACCAGATTAGATCGCTAAACAAACTACTTTATCGGGAAAAAGTCGAGCATGTAGAACCGACTGTCTTTGGAGTGAGAATACGCCATCCGCTGAACCAGACAGACTATATAAAAAGTCTCTAATAGACAGGCCATTCATCGAGAATCAATCAACACCTTTGTCAACTCGCACTCGCTGAATTCCGTCATCGGAGACCAAAGCTGCCTATCGCAGACGATAAGCTCGAGTTTCTTCGTTAGCCCGCGATACTTTGACACAATTCACTTCTGGATATTGTAGTGGTTAAACGGCTCATTCCATTTTGAATAAGATGCCCCGTCGACACTAACCACCTTTTCTCATGCCCACTTATATCAGCTTATCCAAAATCCCTCTCCTTACGCACAGTGGTATCAAATTGGAAATAATAAAACAAAAATTTTTTTAAATGAAAATATTTGAGATTAACAGATAATATACACTTGCAATTTTTTTCGTTTCCGAGGAACCGCATAATTGTGCTCAACTACTTTCTATTATGTAACATTCAATAAGAGGAACAGGAGAATCAATTTTCTTCAAAAGTTCTAAAACCTCAGCTCTTCGCACAAAAAAAAATGTATATAAAAAAATTAAAATTCAAAAATCTGGCTCAACAAATCTCATTTAAAACTCAAGGATTTTCATCTAAAAAAAAAACTTAATCCAATCTGGACCATTTTGAACAAGAAATTCCAATTTGTCACCCCTGTGCTACAGCCCAAACCCGTCGGATCTGGCATTTTCCTAAGCCTGCCGTTAGATGAGAATGAAGGCAACATGTAGTCGATTCACTGATTTAGACAGAGTTTAGTAAGCTGCTCCAACAAAAATAAAGTGAAATGTTTTCGTTCGATTTGGTTTTATTTTTAAAGTAATTATTCAGCATTCAATTAAAAAATGAAATGAAAAATTTTCCAGTTAAATTTTCAATAACATAAATATTTCGACTTTTTAAGTTATTGTATATAAAAAAAAACTAAGTGAAACCCCGGTTTATTCGATTGTAAAAATCCGGTTTAGTCGGTATTGGAAAAATCGCGATTTTAAAAAGCCGTCTAACAATATTCGGAAAAATATCGGTTGAAACCGTTTCGTAAAAAACGAGTCAAACACCCTACTTCGGATGCTCACGCTTTTGACTCATTGGTATATTTATTTGTAGGTATATATAGCAGATATACCTTTATTTTTAGTTAAATAAATACATAACTATGTATGTATGTATGTATTTGCGCACAGACATTCATACTACAACTTCCCTAAATAGCATCACAATTTATTAGCTAAAGCACTTACAGCTCATTAGCGACATAATTAATAGAATAAAAAATAGCGATAGCGTAAATACATTACCATAAATACACATGTAAGTAAATGTACTTCAAATATTCTAAATATTTCCTCTACTAAATGTTTCGTTAAACTACTTAATTTCACATAGAATGTGTACTACTAAATACAATGATTGCTTGCCACTTAAATAAACATATACATATGTATATATGTATGTAAATGTGCACCACCACACTTATAATCAATAAATCACAGTGCAATTATCGGCTCTTAGCAATTTAACTAAGTACATTAGGGGTATTCACGATCCGGTGCATACTGTCTAGCATGGTGCATAGATATCATAAATAGCATGATTGTTGTTGTTTCATGTGTTCAAACAACGACAAAATTAGCCAATAATGCTATCTATGCACCATGCTAGACAGTATGCACCGGATCGTGAATACCCCTATTTTATTTAAATTTGTACGTTTGTGTATATGGATGCAAGTACATAAATATTGCTAACTTTATTGTTGTACAACAAATGGTTTTGTGTTTGAATTCACCACACACAGAATCGCAGCTAAACACTGATTGCAGGTAGGTTAGAGATCAGCGGCAAGTTCAACACGATTAATAATAAATAATACATCAGGAAAAGCCAAACATACACAACTGCTTACATACATACATACATACATGCATGTGTATTAGTGCATATTCAGATATGCAAGCACGCAAACAAACACTAATTGCATATTCAAATTCGCATTCACTTTGCATGCCTTTCATCAGCTCCATCAATGCGCTTTTATAGATTTCTTTCCTAGTCTTGTTGAGAATACTTGCTTGCGCTGTCAATTCACTAAGCTCGTAGTAATCACAACATTGCAAGTAAATAAGCTGATTTTTCTGCTGTTGTTGTTTATTTATTTATGTGCAGCTAGCCGTTTTGCTTTGAGATTGGCCATTGATCGATGATTGCGCCCGCCTGTGTAAACGTTCACATTGATCAAGTAGCGATCGTGACTTTGATAATTTCTCTTTAGCTGATTTTTGGGAAAGTTTGGAAAATTGTCGATTAACTATTTACGTGTTTGTGTGTTGGATTTAGAAGAATGGCGCAGCAATAGAGCGAGTTATGGTGTTATGTTCAATAGTCTGAATATTACAAAGAACCCTAGGTAAAATTTCCTTACGAGAAGCAGACAACTTTTGGAATGCCAATTCATACACAGTACTGGGTAAGGCCACCTGAAGTGTACCACGAACATTTCGTTAGGTCAGGGAATATTTTGAAAAATTTCATATATTTTTTCCATGTCATTGACAATTATATTTTAGAGCAAGGCAAAGCTGAGCAAGTAAGTAGATAAGTTCGGGCGAAATTGAAGTTTTTATATACCCGGCGCACGTATTAAATATCGTTTTTCCACTTTTCAGTAAACTGCATGATAAGCAAAAGTGTTTTTTCCGATAGTTAGTTTAAGTAAATTGATAAACTAAATTTCATATTTTAATATGGGTGTCACAAGAAAGAGATTTAAGAAGGCTTAAAGCCTAAAATATTTTTGAGGAGAGTTGCCATCTGTTTGAAATTTTTTGATTTTAAATAAAAGGAAACGATAAATTTATTATTTTATTATGGGTGCCAAACTAAATAGGTTATAAGCCTTCTTAAAAATATTTTTGATGACAGAACTGTGTGAAAAATTTTATTATACCGATAAAATAAATTAAGTTTTCCAATACGAGTATCACATTGAAAGAGGTTTAAAAAAGTTGACTGCTGAAAATATTTTTGATGCGGGCTGCCACCTGTTTGAAAAATTTTATTTGATTTAATTCATAAAATAAACTAAATTATGTTATTATGTAAAACAGGGACACTACATCTTGACGAGTTTTGAATATTTTCCTTCCGGTTTTTTAATGTTGAATACTTTTTTATTTAAGTCTAGTTAAATATATAGTACTTAACACCATATGAATCCACATTACAGGCTTTGTAGGGAAATTAAAAAAATGCCACAATAAAAAAATTTGTATTCACATTTAAAAAAATATATATAAATCCAGGTATGTATATTTCTGTGTTCGAATGGAATAGTAGCTTATGCCGAAAGGCTAGCTTTAGTATAAATCGGCATTCGCAGCATAAATAAACGTGTAAAAAATAGTTCCGATACTAGCAAGTCAATATTCTTATTAAGTCTCATCAAAAAATTCCTTGTTATTTAAAGAGCAAAGGGAGTGCCCATTATATACTAAAGCCAGCTTTCCGACATAAGCTACTTTTCCATACGAACACAGATTTGTAGCTTATTGAGGTGCAACTTTTATGAATTCAAATTTTCGTAAACAATGAGAATTTTGGACTTACATGGCTTTTGTTAGACATATCATTTTGTTTCGGGCTGTACAAAAAAGGAATACCTGGCATTATATATAGCATACCAGGAATTCCTTTATTTATTGGAAAACTGTTTCTTTAATGTACCGTAAAAATGCTTTTATTTTAAAATAGAGATACTGTGAAAGGAAATTTTCGCATAGTAATATACTGTTTTTTTTTGTCCGAAAAAAGATACGTGCCCCAGCCATGCCTGTTAAGTTAGATGTATACAGATTAATAACTAAATCGCTGTACTTATATTATATCCCCTCACATCGCAAATAGTTGTCCACACCCATTGAAGCACACATAAGCATATCTCTGAAAGCAAAAAATTCCCTGAAGCCTTGTTTAGTGTTTTCTGTAGTTGACATGATAATAATAATGTTGTGTGACACCTACTCGTAAACAGACATGATATTAGAATACAACATTGAGCTTAAGTTGACATTTTCAAGATTGATGAAGTGATGAAGAACAAATACCACAGTCGGAAATGCTATTAAACACTTATGCACAATTTTTTCGTACTGAAATTTATTTTATATATTTTTTTTTTTTTGTAAATATACTTCATATAGCAGAGCACTCGGGATAAAAACTCTATGATAGCTTTAAATTATATTTATCAATAAAGGACACCACATAAATGGCTTTCAGTCTCCTAAGTAAATATAAAAGCATCTCAAAATTTATTCTCCTTTTTTTCTTTAATTTCAGAATATTCTGCAATACTGGAGTGTAACAGTTGGTGACTCTGCCAAAGCGCATTAAATACTTCATCGCCTGCCAACAGTAGCTAAAAGGGCAAAGCTACAGTTATATAAGCAGTTGAATAAACGACGCGTTGAGCAAATACATACATAGAAATACGAATCAAGTATAAAATCAATAACTGTCCACTATGGATGTTAGAAAATATTTGAGTTTACTGGCACTGATGCTGCTATCACTGTTGGCGTTTCATAGTAGTCCAGTGGAGGCGTGCAGTTGCATGCCCAGCCATCCGCAGACACACTTTTGCAATGCTGACTATGGTGAGTGAAAGCAGGGTACGAGTAGGTATAAAGGAAGTTAAGTAAAGTCAGTTGTCATGCAATCTACTGGATGACAGCAGGAAATGTGCGGTTGTAGAAGATGCACGACACGTGCCACTCGAAGGCAGGAAGCCTGTTTGTGTAAATATGAAATGTAAAGGAATGTAAATAATGAAAGGCTTAAAGAGCTCATTTGAGGTTCACAGTGCAGTTGAAATAATCAAATATGCCCTGAATCAACAGAAATTATATTAGCTTTAGCAGGAAGAAGGGTAACAGTGTAATGCTATGGTATGTGCTTAGCGCTACTCGTCCGGCGGTCGAACGGCAACAGCAAAAATAAATCTTTTTCCTAAATTTGTAACAGATATCTACACAAAAGTGGAATTCCGACATTTTATTGGAGAATGCGCGGATTTGTGAAGATTTTTCCACAGTTCCTTTGTGGATTTATTTCATTTCACCTTCAGCAAGTCGCTGACGGCTGCCCTTGTACGAACGATTGCCCAGAAATGCGATAGAAGAGCTTTATTATTATATTTCGACAGGCAAGTGTTTTCTTTGCGTTTTTAAGTGGATGAATGCTAAGCGAATAACTACTAGAAGGGAAAGGAAGAGGTTTTCTTAAAATTTGTATTTGTAGTTTACCATATAAAACGTATCCAAAACTAATTCGAAGAGCATAAAAAAGAACTAAAATAACGTTGAAAAACAAATTTAATTTCATTTTTCGCATTCAAAATATTTAGGTATTAGTAATTCGATTTTTAATTATATTCTTATATATTCTGACATTAGCCAAGCAAGTTTAATTAAAAATTGCTAGGATATCTGTGGTAATCATTTATTCAATTAATAAAATATTTTACTTTTTCTAGATTTTTTCACTGGCTTTTACTCAACTCATTTACATGAGGTAGAATCTTATAGACGAATCCAAGGCACATTAAACAGGTAGTATCAGTAGAGCAAAAACAACATTTGCGTGTATTTTGTTGTTGCTTCTGGTATCGAAAGTGTCAAAAACTGTTCTGAATTTTTTCTTCTAAATCAAAGCGTGCCATGTGAAATACAAAAAATTATAAAAAATAAAAAATTGAAATTGGAAAAAATAAAAATTGATGCAACTTTCTTTCCTAGTAAATTTGTTTGCTTCTCGAAGCATTGATCCATCCTTTACAAGGGCCAGTAATCAGCGGTCGTGCTGCTGAGTTGGGCGAACGTTCCAAAAGCTGCTATTCAATCACTTGTTTTGTATGGAAAAAGGTTTCACATGCAAATGGATTTTAACAATTCAGAATTTTTGTGAGAAAAAATTAAAAATATTTTACATTTTCGAGACCAAATAATTTGAAAATAAATCAAATCAGCTGCTCTACTGATACTACCTGTTCAATGTACCTCGGACGAATCAGATTTTCATTAAAACGTTTGTTTTTTTGGGAAAAATTACGCCCACATTTTTATACCCGAGCGCACTTGTGCACAAGGGTATTATAACTTGGTTCACATAACGGTTGTTTGTAACAGGCAAAACGAATCGAGATAGATATAGACAAATGAATACATAAATGATCAGAATGAAAAAAGAAACCGATTAAGCGGTGACTGTCTG